GCCTAATATTGTAATACAAATAGTTATACAAAATATTCGTTTTCTTCTGGAAAACACTGAAAATTAGATAACATGTGCTGACACATCACTTCCAAAGGAATATAAAAAATAATTCGCCACTCAGGCTAAAATAACAGTCAGTTTTTTGATAAAAAAATATTCAATTTTAGATTACAAGCATTATGAATATTTATAGATGGTAAAAAGCTGATATCTGACGGCAAACAATGAAATCTTTTTTGTATACGCGATTTTATACAATGGGATAATTTGTTGGACACAGAAATGCTGAAAGGTTCTACAACGTAAATGACACGTGCTGAAATATTGTTTACAAACCGAAAATATACATAAAATTTTGGTTTAAATGAGTTGTATGCATACTTAAATGTTTTCCTATGTATATTTTGTGCTCGTTTTGGATTGGTCACAACCATAGCCGCATTCAAAACTATTTCAAATTATATAGTCCATTGAAAAGTTACATTTAGGGTTGTATTTTCAGAGGACGCCATTTTACTTTTTGATGTGTAGGAGGGTTAGTATAAGCGCTTAAGCTCAAGTTTGTGGAGTCGCCATCCTTTTCCCCCAGCCGCGAAAAATGGTTGCAACTAGTTTGTTATATCTCGTAAACTAACAACCATTACAAAAACTTTTATTGGACACTATTTATAGCAAATTTCTTGTCCCCCAGCCGCTATATTGGAAAAATGGTTGCAACTAGTTTTTTGTATCCTGTAAACTAACAACCATTACAAAAACTTTTAGTGGACACTATTTATAACAAATTAAATTGTCTGCATCTTTATTCCAATAACTTTTAATCGTAAGAGGATCATTGAAGGCTCACTAATACAATGGATTGAGTCAATGCTAAAAACCAGAATCATCTCTGATGGTAGTGGAGGAGAATCTGTGACTGTAACAAAGGGGTGACCTCAAGGCGGAGTACTATCGCCCCTGCTGTGGTTTCTGGTCGTGGATGACTTCCTCGCTAAGTTTCATGATTCTGGTTTTATAACCCAAGGATACACAAATGTTCTGGTTGTTACAATTAGGGGCAAGCATTGACCAGACTATATCTAGTCTCATGCAAACTGCTCTGTGCGAAACTAAAAGTTGAAGCTCGAAAGAGGGCTTAAATGTCAACCCAGCAAAACGAATTTGATACCTTTCACAAGGCGACGAAAATACACTTTACAAGCTCCAATTATGAATGACAGAGCTTTGGTGGCAAGTTAGACTTGTCACAAGAAATTTGGAAAGATTTGAGGCCTGAAACCGAAAAAAACATCAGCTAAGGCCAAGCTGCAATCTGTGCAGCGGCTAGCTTGTCTGGGAATTACAGGGGCAATATCAACATGCCCCATTGCAGCTAGGGATTGCAATCCAGCAGCATTTTCAGTCCAGCTAGATTTTTGCAAGATTGGCCTGAATCTAAAATTCCAGCGCAGATCCAGCAACAAATTGTGGAATCAAAATAAAAACACGATTTAATGTTTTTTTTTTGTTTATTTACTACTTAAGCTTTTTAATACAAACTAGTAAAATAAAAACTCGAAAAAAAAAATGATCTTAGGTGTATAATCAAATAAGGACGTATAATCAGTCGCAATTCGCAATCAATCTTACCTCTCTTTAACTTAAAATTAAAATGGCTAGAGCAAATGCCACAATTATCATGAGATTAAAAAAAACTCGTACTCAGCCGTGGAAGTGAAACATAGGGCTTTGCTTGTGTCGGCTGAGAATTGTCACGAATGAAATTTTATCCAAATGAACTTAAGTATCTGTTGTAATAAGAGTAGTTCATTTGCGGCAAATTTCATTGCTGGCAATTTTTAAGGTGACACAAGTTAATTAATATGTTTTTCTTCCATGGCTTACTGAGGACGAGTTTTTTTTTGATATCATGATAAAAATCAGTCTGTATTCTAAATTTCTAAACAACACAAACATGAATTATTTAGTTTTTTGGAAGTGAGACTTTAAAAAACATTTTATCGATCGTTTTATCGCCTAACCTACTTCGCAAAGATCTGCTCATATAGCCGGTTGCGGAGAAAGCCCTTTCGTCATCTACGCTGGTCGGTTTTAAGGTCATCAAATACCTAGTCATAAACTATGGACAAATGATCGCCTTTCACTCCTTCGGTCTCATAAACGGTCATTTCCTTTTTCAAAAGCTTTTCGTAATTTTTTTGAGAACCAGTTTTTTTTTTGGTTATAAAAGTTTTCCCCCTTGCGTTTCAGTTCAATCTCAAAATCTGTTCTAAAGTAAAATTCACGGGCTCCGGATTAGCTGGCATATCGTGTACTTCCATTATGTCCTCTTGCATTGCTTCCACAATCACTTGTTTATTTAAACGACTTAACAAAATGTTTCATCTCTTGTCGCATTGCATTCTTTTTCGGCATGGGGAACTAACCAGGATTGTTTAGTCCTTCGTCATACTTTTTTGGATTTTGTAAGTACACTAATGTACCTGTAATTTCAGAGAGGCGCCATTCCACGATTCTGTTGCGTAGTGCTTCCGATAGCTCGGCACTAAGGCTAGAATCCTGGCTATTTAGTTTGTCTAAGACAAATTTCAAGGTTGTGTCGGCCGTTATCAAAGTGGACTCTCTTCTGCAAAGACCTTCTACAGCCAGTTTCAATGTCTATCAATGCTTTATCGATGCAATTTTTTAGGCTGTAGAAACGTTCCAGCATACTGAGCAAACTGTTCCACCTGGTACGGCAGTCAAAAATCAAACTTAATTCCTTGCCTTTCTCGTTCTTGACATATTTTTGCAAGGACATGTCGTCTTTGGTAGGTGATTTTTTTGAATGTTTTAACAACTTTTGTTACTGCCAATCCTTCATTTATCTCTGTCTCCATATCTTCATTTTCGTCTTCATATTCATCAGTGTCGTTTATTGCTGATAGTTCTACTTCTCTCTTGTTCTTTCATCATAACGGATGCGCCGTCGGTTGTGATACCAATGGTGTCGGATTCAATCATTAAACCAAAAATTTTGAACCGTCTGCCACTAATCCAATGCAGTGTTCGGCAGTGCACGAGCCGTGAATTCTGATCAAACCTAGATTAAAATGTGCTGCATTGTGCAAATTGTGATTTATGTGATATAGTGATAAATCCAGCATGATTTGCTGGATCCAGCATATAAAAAAACGCTGGATCCAGCTGGATTGCTGAATGCTGGATCCAGCAATTGCAATCTCTAATTGCAACTCTAGAGGCGATACTGAACCTTCTTGCCTTGAACATTTGACATCTTTCAAATTGTTAATTTCTCCATGGTCTACTTTAGGCTTGTTTAGGAAACTAAGCAGAAAATGAGGATTTATTAATGAAAAACATGGCTAGTTGTTAAAGGACCTAACTTTTTTATTATCGAACATAAGCAAATAAATCAAACAACAAAATGTTAAGAAAATCTCGCCCTACACGGTTTTAGTTTTAGTCTTTTATAAATGCTGGAATATTCCACAGGGTGTTGCGAACTTTGAGAGAAAAATACAGTCTGATTATAGGCACCATAAAAACTGATGATAGAGATGTGATAAACACAAAAAATTAATCCGTTGGGACCTTTTATACATTAGTTAATATTAATATGCAAATATTTCGCTTCGTAATGTCTTATTTACTAATATACAGTTTATTCTTAATCTTCGTCATCGAGCATCCTGCATAGTTTTGAATCTTTAATTACTGCCTTGGAGTATTTGTTATACGGGAATAAACATTTTTGTATACAAAACAACTCTTTAACCTGCTTATATTTATCTTAAAAATCGACGTCATATAAATATATATATATATATATATATATATATATATATATATATATATATATATATATATATATATATCATAAAAAATAACATTAATTGACTTCTTTAAAACGTAAAAAATGGCAAAACTCTTTACATTGCAAAAGTCCAAACAACCTTTCAGTATTTCTGCTGTTAAGCCTATTAAAAATCTTTGCATGTAAATAGTATTCAAATAAGATATTCCAATATCGCCCGGAGACATTACTTTAAATGTAAGCTTCTTATTCATTCAGCAGCTTATTATATTTAGAACCTCTAGGGCTTCTAAAGCCATTCTTAACGAAACAAGTTCGCCCTTTCAATAGTAAATAACAATTTGCAAACTGGCTAAATAATTGACGGACTATAGGGCTGAATTTCAGTTGCGTCTTTATAAAAAAAAAAAGAAAAAATACTCCCATTATACATAAATTTAACAGATTTTATATAAATAAAATTGTATATGTGTAAAAAATAGAAGAAAATACTCAATTTGATGTCGAAATCTTTCATTTTTTTTTTATCGATTTTAAGTCAGTTTACGACAGCGTGCTAAGAAGTAAATTATGTGAAACCAAATACGAATTTAACATCCCCGACAAGCTGATAAGACTGGTGAGGGCTATAATGCATAAAGTTATCAGTAAAATAAAAAATACGGGGCGAACATTGAGATACACATATTGGAGAAAAACGATGTCTCGTCTATAACACAATCTTGGAAAAAACGATGGGCAATCCTTCTCAAATTATGACCTATTTTTTTTATAATTATGTTTATTTACAATCTACATAATTACAGAGTATTGATGGGAGAGACATCCAATGATGTCTCCCCTTATTCTATTTTGGTTTAGTTTTGAAGTAGGTCTTGGGGCCAGGTTTTATCTAGTCTTCTTGTGGCTGGACCATTGTTGAATGATTCCCTTACCAGCTCATTTTTATTGTGAATGGTACATTCATTTTATGACTCCGTGCCTCGACGGATTTCTCGACTATACGTCCAAAAAAGTTAATAAAAACTGTATAATCTCTATCTAAAAGATGTTTATTTTGGCGATACTTAAACTATTCTGTATTTAAAACCTAGAAACATGCAAAAATCCTCAACATATCTATTCTATTATATTATGTGATATTTACAACACTGTATTTATAAAAAAAATATATTTTTACCTGATATGTCCAGAGTCTCCACTACTACTCTGCCTACTATGAGAATGAGAATGAATACTGCTATAACCGGAAGCCTTCGATAATTGACTAGTGTTCGAAGAGTTCCTGGAGTGTCCTGGTTCGCCCAGGGCGATTTCCTGAGGTTCGTGGTCAAGATATGGAAGAGCTGAAGGTAGGGACGATACTGGATGGGATTCGTTGGTGGCGTCGGGGGCTATCGACACTTGGGCGTTATTTTCCGTAAGGGTTTGACCTATTACTAATTCTGAAAGTAAATGAAAAAAAAAATAAAATAATTATCATAATTCTTGGTTTGTTAGTTACTAAAAGTAATTGTTCCAAAAGTTTCAATATTTTGACCCTACTTAATTATTTTAAACCTATTATCGTAATAATTTTTAATTTACTTCATTTAAAATGTACAACTGGCCAGTAAAGGAAAAAAGCTTAAAAAATACCGTTTTTTGAACATTCTTAAAGGTATATAGGAAGAAAAAAAATATATAAACATATATACAAGAAGAAAGAACAATGCATATAAACTGACGCAGCAAAGAAGAACTCAAGTGCCATACGATAAAATAAAATTAAAAAAGGAAAATGAAACAAGAAAATTCTATAAAAATCTAAATAATGCAAGAAAAGAATTTAAACCAAGGATCGGACTATGTAAGGATAAGGATGTATTTTATTCAAATTTGGACATACCAGCAACTTGACAAGTATTTTCCAATTTTGCTGCATGCAAAATCATTCGTATAATTTTTCACTCTACGCGAAATAGAGACTTACAGAGGCCTTGATGAACATTTGATGTCGACAAATAATTTCGAGTATTCGAAATATTCCGTCCCATTTCTCTTAACACGCCCAGTATATACATATTATATTCATTTTATTTGCCTTTGGTAAAGCAACATCCAATATTATTACTGAATATAAAATACAGGAAATTAAATATTTTTAAACAATCGTAAAATAGTTTCGAAACACAATTCAGATTTCTGCTTTATAATCTCAGCCTTCTAAGAATTGCAAGGCAAACAGACGTTGATAAAAGATGTTAAAAGAGACATGGGGAATCTAAAATTTGCATTCCACGACATGTCTTTTACAACTAAGCAGAGATCCTTAGCGAATTGTGCTTCTAGTACTCCCACAGAGTAAATCCGAATAAAATGAGAAAAGGCAGCAAATATTTGATTTCACGCAAACAAATCCCATGTATCTCTTGATACGTATTTCGACCTAATAGGTCTCGTCAGAAGAGCTATTCATAGGGGTTCTCAACGTGAAAAATCAATATTTTCTGCCTTTTAAGAAGCAACAATAACATGGCTTCAATACGGACGCACTAGCGACATCTAATTAAACAATCGTAAAATAGTTTCGAAACACAATTCAGATTTCTGCTTTATAATCTGAGCCTTCTAAGAATTGCAAGGCAAACAGACGTTGATAAAATATGTTAAAAGAGACATGGGGAATCTAAAATTTGCATTCCACGACATGTCTTTTACAACTAAGCAGAAACTATTTTACGATTGTTTAATTAGATGTCGCTAATGCGTCCGTATTGAAGCCATGTTATTGTTGCTTCTTAAAAGGCAGAAAATATTGATTTTTCACGTTGAGAACCCCTATGAATAGCTCTTCTGACGAGACCTATTAGGTCGAAATACGTATTAAGAGATACATAGGATTTGTTTGCGTGAAATCAAATATTTGCTGCCTTTTCTCATTTTATTCGGATTTACTCTGTGGGAGTACTAGAAGCACAATTCGCTAAGGATTTCTGCTTAGTTGTAAAAGACATGTCGTGGAATGCAAATTTTAGATTCCCCGTGTCTCTTTTAACATCTTTTATCAACGTCTGTTTGCCTTGCAATTCTTAGAAGGCTCAGATTATAAAGCAGAAATCTGAATTGTGTTTCGAAACTATTTTACGATTGTTTAATTAGATGTCGCTAGTGCGTCCGTATTGAAGCCATGTTATTGTTGCTTCTTAAAAGGCAGAAAATATTGATTTTTCACGTTGAGAACCCTATGAATAGCTCTTCTGACGAGACCTATTAGGTCGAAATACGTATCAAGAGATACATAGGATTTGTTTGCGTGAAATCAAATATTTGCTGCCTTTTCTCATAAATATTTTTACTTTCCAAGCGATCGGAATTAAATATTAACGCCCCACTGTTTGGGGCCCACTGATCATTTCTTAATTGCATATCTGCCGTCATAGGGTAAAAGGACTTTACTACAATTTTCTACTCGCTTTTAGAGGACCTGACGATGAACAGCAAATTTTCGAGCAGTGATCGCAAACCGTTTCACGTTACCATTAATCTGATTGTCCTGTCTTCCAATTAAGCAATTTAACTATTTTATTATTAAGTCCATTTTCTTCAAATTTAAATTTTCCATATTCATTTCAAATCTTCTGTAATAATTCGCAGTAAAATCCATTATAAAACGATCTAATATTTCCTATCAATCAACATTTTTAATTACTTATATTAAACTAACAGCAACATAATCAACGATATACATACAGCATTTCCAATTAACAAGTTATATTATCGTAGAACGTATCAAAAATCGATAGCGAAGCCGTTTATTTTGGTAATAATTAGAATTAACGACCTACTGAAAATATGTTTTGACAGATTTTAACAGACTACTTATAATCTAAGTATGTTATTTTTATAAAAGTTAAGGTGAGAAGCTATTAAGTATTTTAGTATGTACATGGTCTAACAATATAATAAGGCCAAGTTTAAAATAAAATGAAACAGGATGGCACACAAAAGGTATCAGCTACTACGAAGAGAAATTTTTCCGAACAGGTGGATTGGAAGACGTGGATATATTGAATGGCCAGCGAGTTCGCCAGATCTCTATCCTTTGGATTATTTTATGTGGAGTCATTTGAAGAATGTTGCTTATAAAACGAAACCTGCAAATATTGAAGACTTAAAACAAGAATTCGTAAATAAATAAACAATATTTCACAAGAAAAGATAAACAAGGTTCTACAAGAATTTGTACAACGTTTGTGTTACTATCACATACAACAAGGGCTATAATTCGAACATTTAAGATAAAGTCATGTATTAATTACTGGATTACTTTCAATTTATTGATTATATACGAAGAAGATTGCGTTTCGATTTAATTATTGATTATAATTTATTTATAATTTATTAAATTTTATTGTAAAATGTAGAACATTAAACTTAAAAATCGACAACTACTACATCTAACACAAAATTATTAATTATGTACATTATTTTCATACCTGAAGAAAGAAGCGCTGGTCGTTTCTTTGGTAAACTACCAAAACCTGAGCTTCCGCTAGCTATAGAACCTGCTAAGGAACCACTAGAGAATTCGTCCGATCTCTGCTCCGGCCCCGTCTCTTCTACATTGACTGGTTTATGTTTCAGGGACGGAGATGGCCTGAAACAAAAAATAAATATCAAATATTGGATTCAATGAGAAACTTTTTAGGTTAGTAGTACTATTATACGATTTGGATTTGTTGGAATATTAATAAAATTCTATAACGATGTTGGACCTTTTGTTGACCTAATTCTGAGAAAATTCATTTGTATAATGTATATTTTTTTTTCTTCTACCTCTAAACCTATACCAGAATGTCGACATCAACTCTTTCTCATGGAGTTCCGGTGATGTATTGTTGGAGTTTCCCCTAAGTCTCGTTTTTGGTCCTTTCTTGTATGCACACAGTCCACATCGTTTGTTGGTACATCGGTTCTTCCACATATTGTAGTTCCACATAGTAATAGCTCTCACGGACTCCTATTGATAGTCCTATTGCTCCCAAAATGCCCCCCGGAGCGGCTATCCTGGAGTTCTGCTAGCACGTCCTTTACACATATCCTTGGGATATATGAGTTCCTCTCCTCGCATGGTCTTCTCGAGAGGCCGTCTGCATTCCCATGATTTCTTTCTGCTTGGTAACTATTGAGAACTCTATCAGCATATAAACTGTCGCTACTTCCTCTTGTTGTAGATATTACAATCTGGGACTACGTGGCTATTGTGGGGATTGCCCGCCGGTCGATTTTTTGTCCACTGAACTTGTACGTTGTCAGCAATCACGTCGAAGGTGGACTAAAATCCACAATTGTAACAATTTTGATCCCCCTTGACGTTTTTGTTTTAAAGAATCAGTTATTGGGCAGGACATTTCTCAAATTGGGCGGCCAATATCCAGGGCAGCTTATTTACATCGTCTTCTTCTACTTCGGTAATACCTATTACGGACCTATTGACGGACTTTGCGTTGATGGCGTGACATATTCTTCACGGCTTCATACTTTAAGGCTACGACAATGGCGCCCTTCAATATTTGGTAGCGTCCTCTCCTTAGTCATAATATCCGCTGAAGGTCTACAACGCTCGGGCCTTCAAGGAAGGATTGGATGGTACAGAAACTCTTCCGGGGCTTTCAACCAAGCAAGTCGTGCCATTTTTTATATCACCTTCTCCGCATTCTTACACAGATTCTTTTAGTTGACTCTGGTAGACTTTTTTCGAATATTGGCTGCTATACCTTAGCTCTAGAGACGATATGATGGTCTCACAACTCGTTTGTGCATCCTCTGAGATGTTTTGGAGGATTTCCACAGACCTCGAAGTGCTAACATGAGAGCTCTTACCTTCTGTTCATATGTCCATCCATTATTTTGTGTTGCGGATTCGAATTGTCTTCTATACACTGACCTGAAGGTTTCGCCATCAAATGTAGGAGACTTAATGATTCCATTGACAGGGGATCAAATGACTTCTATTTTACCTTTAACTCTCAGTTGCTTGGTCTTTTTAATTTCTAGACGCATATTTTCAAGAGTTCTCGTTACCTCATCATGTTTTTTCTCTACTAGATCTCTTGTTACTTCAACTTCTTTAATCATCTCTTTTTTGTCTTTTCTATTTCTCTTTCATATCTTTTTTCTCTACGAATTTTCTCTTCATATCATCTTTGTATTTTAAATTTCTCTTTTCACGTCTTCATTACTCACTTTTGAAGCCTCTATTGTTAATATAAGACTCATGAGCAACTATCTGCCTTCCTGAAGATGAGTCTCTTTAGCTTCTTGTCGACGTTTTTCTTTTTCGTCTTGTTGTTTTTCGTCAGCCTCTGTTTGTCCTCTTCGACATTGTTCCACTGTATCAATCTTATCTCGAATTTCTTCTTGGTCTCGGTCCTTGGTTTGACCATAAAAATTCTCTAAAACTATTTTGTTCACATAATCTCACACGTCTGACACCAATGTTACGATTTCTGTACATTCAGAGATTATGTGACGCAATCGTGGTTAAACTAATCATCAAAGGTCGCCTCAGCGGGCTTGTATTAGAATACCGAGCCATTCTGGAACCTTTCCGGGCGACTGGAACATAACCGCATCGACAGAACGGTGCGCAAAATACTTTCGGAGGTGAAAAAATCATTCTCGACTTCACCAAAGCACAGGGCCGCAATTAGGGATATGCAACATAACAGTAATATAGAACATAAGTGACTGAATACTAGACAGAAAAAGAACTGGAACAGCCAGATAAGTAGAATAGGAGGTCACGGATTAGTAAAAATAGCACGAGATAAAAGAAGCAACCAATACCAAGCATCTCTATCTATATAGCCCTTGCTGTCCAATTTTAGACAAAGGCCTCCTCTTTCTTCTTCCACGTCTCTCTAATGTAGGCAGTTATATTATCTAATAATGCCCTATAAGGCATCTTATTCCATCTCTAGTCTTTCTGTCTTATGGTATGTCCAGCGAACTTCCACTTAAGTTTTGCTATCTGCATTGATACATCGGCCACTTTTGTTTTGTTGCGGATCCAAGTAGTTCTTTTCTTGTCTGATAGTCTGATGTTCAGCATTTGCCTTTCCATGGCTCTTTGCTATTTTTTCATGTTTTCCTTTGTAAACGTTTAAGTTTGAGAACCGTAGGTGAGAAGAGGAAGTATACATTGGTTGAAAACTCCAGTTATTAAATATTGGGGATATTTCCTATTTTTTAGTATATAGGAAAGTTTTCCGAAGGATACCCTTTATTTCTCCGGTCTGATTTTCTGTATTTAATTTAACTAGTTGTCCCAAATATACATATTCTTTTACTTGTTCTATAGTTGTTTGTGCAATTGTAATTATTAATTCTTCTGGTTGGTTGGTCATAATTTTCGCTGTATTATAATTCATTTGTAGACCTTTTTTTGTTGATTCGCTATTTAATTCATCCATTATAATTTGTAATTCTTCCCTTTTATCTGTTATTAATACAATGTCGTCTGCATATCTCAAGTGATTTAAGTATTGGCCATTTATGTTAATACCCCGTTTTTCCCATTGTAATTTCCTCATAACGACTTCCAAAGCTTGATTGAATAGTTTGGGTGATATAGTGTTACCCTGTCTGACTCCTCGCCGTATCTCTAACAGGCTCCGTTTGTTTAACTGTTATAATGGATGTTGTTGCTTGATCATATATATTGGAAATTAAGTCCCTATATCTATAGTATATAGTCTAATATCAAGGAAAAATGACGCAATTATTTGCTAGAGAGGAATGATCTTTGAGAAGCATTGAAAGTTTCCGAAGAAAACATCATTTTGGTACCTGGTTAGAGTATTGGATTGAATTGCTATTTTGATTTAATTCAGAACGGACTAATTAAAAAACCTTTATTGTTAGTTTCATATGGAGTTAATTATTATCGAAAGTAAATTATTGGAAACCAAAAAACGATTAAAAAATTGGTAGGCCTCAAACACAACAAGTATCGACAATAAATCCTGCTTTATTCGAAGTGAGTAGCTTCATAAAAAAAGAAAACACACTGTCCCTACTCCTTCCATCCAACCGTAACGTTGTCTACACTTTCCCAATCAAAATTTTAGTATTTTTACAAAGGACAAGCATTTACGACCGTAATTCCAATGCCCGAAAACAGAAACTCAATTTCCTTAAGTTCCAATATACGGACCTTTCCAACTGCGTCACACGAGCAATGGAGGTTATACGAATAATTTAAGAAAACTCTTTGTTGTTCTTTCATCTCGTGTTTCTATTGGTGTCACGTTATATAAAGCGTATTGGGATCTTTGGTGTTGTTTATTTTGTAGACAAAGCTCTGAGGCGATTTCTTTTAGCAGACTAGTAAACGATTTTATTGTTCGGTTATTAGAATTCGATAGGAGTTTTTTTTATATTTTATCTCATTTTAGGATATTATGGGTATATGTGTTTTTGACTCAGTACTTCGCTTGTAAGTAATAAGTAGGTATATTTTAATTATATTAACACGATGACTGCCCCAACAATTTTCAGAAATCTCGCCTAATTGACAATTTAATTTAATCACATTATATTCTTTAAAACTCTAATTCTAGAAGAAAAAAATAATGATGTCAAAGAATGTTTTTACAGAGAATTAAACAGAGCAATCGAAAATATGCCCAGATATGATAGGAAAATTATTTTAGGCGACGCAAATGCCAAAATAGGGAAGGAAGAAGCATTTAAACCGACGATAGGAAAATATAGTAAAAACAATGAAACTAATGAGAACGGACAATTCCTGGTAGATTTCGCAAGAGAAAAAATATGATCATAATGAGCACATATTTCGAAAGAAAAGAAATACACAAGGAAACATGGATATTGCCAGATAGAAAGACTAAAAACCAAATAGACCACGTGCTCATCGAAAAAGAAGAACAGCTATGTATAAAGAAGATAAGAACATACAGAGGACCAGACGCTGACTCAGTTCATTACATGGTGGGCAATAAAAGAAAAGAAATGTATAAATAACCCAATTCGATTAGCAACAAAGAAAGAGCAAGAAATGTACGAGGAAACAATGGAAAGAGAACTAAAAAAGATACAAATAGAAGAGCAAACTGAGAACAAATGGGAAAACATAAAGCAAATAATGAACAAAGCAGCAAAATAACGTAATACACACGAGAATAACGAGAATAAAAAGAGGAAAGACTGATTCGAAATAGAGTGCCAAAAAGAAATATAACTAGAAAATCATTAAGGATCGAAATGATCAGGAAAGAAACAACAGAGACAAAGAATAGATATATGGAGCAAAGACAAAAAGTAAAGAGGTAGTAAAGAGAAATAAAGAAAATTACAGAAATAAAGAAATAAAAAACCTATATCAAGGTGCTAGAAATGAAAAAAGAGGTTTCCAACAAAAACCCATATTCGATAAAAACAAAGGGAAATAATATAAGCGGTAAAGCAGAAATAGTCGAAAGATGGAAAGAGTATTTTGATGAATTACAAAATGGCAATAATAAGTCAAACCAAAGAAAATGTATGGAAGCAGAAGCAAGAATGGAATACTTAGAAGACATAGAAGATAATTCACCTAGCAAAGAACAAATGGAGCATAACAAACAATAAATG